CCCCGCCCCCCCCAGCTCTGCTGCATTTTTAGAAACCTGAAACAGCATTGTATTCCTAAGACATGCCATCAGGGACCAGCGCTGTTCATACCTAGAGGCCATCCATGGGACTTGACACACCAGAGAAAGCAAACAGCATAAAGAAAATTGTGAGAGAAGGAAAACTGGCTGGGAGGCACCCGGCTAAACAAGCACTGGGGAGATGGGGAGAAGAGAACTCAGTGTTAACGCCTGTCACATTGGTAGCAAGTGGTCATCCCGTTCTTCTGACTCCTCGCCCAGCTGGTCATCACCCACACCACGGTATGCAGCTGGTGCATTTCGAGGCTTAGATCGGCAGACAAAATCACAGCCATCCTACAAGCACAGGATATTGCAGTGGAATCAGACTGTATGCAATTGACTCAACATCCAAAGAAAAGCAGCTTCCATGATTTCTCTTTTGCCAAGGGATTATGCCTATCCCTGTGCTATCCGAGACAGGTCCCCAAAACTTGTCTTGACAAGAGAAGCACACATATCAACATCCTCTTGGACTTGAGAGCTCTGGCACTGCCTACAGTGACCAAGGAAGGGTTTCAGGGAGTCAGACCTGAACATTTCACAGTCCCCAGCTTAACATTCCTACCTGGAAAGTGTTAACAACTAATGAGCATGTGTTCTAGTTTGTTACGTAGCAGTTGTGGGACATTAGCATGGAATCAATCTCAGCAAGGATTAAAAATAGAGTACTCAAGAAAAATAAAACTGATACTCTCATCTTCTGCCTCAAGGTATAGTACCTTGGTGGTAGGTCTACCCAAGAGACGTAGTCCACAAAGATAAGGCAGATGCCATTTTCCCCTGTCCTAACATATGGGCCAGGCTGGGAATATACAGGGATTTTCACTCACCGCCACTAAATTGCCCAGATCTTGCCAGAAGGCAAAGTGAGGAAACTGCTCCATGCCCTTTGCTCCCACTACAAGGCGCTGGTAGAGGAACCCACCAATAATGTAGACTGCAATCAGTGAAACAAACCTGGAGGGCGGAATTAAAAAAAAAAAAAAAAAAAAAGAGCTGAGGAAATCCTACAGACAGCCTCTTCAGAGTCAGCTACCTGCCTCAGATGGGTATTGAAGCAAGTAGCTGAGCACCACTCAAGAACAGAGATATAAGCAGCGACCAGACCAGAAAAGGTCCCCAAAATATCGATCTGCTAGTATACATCTTTCAGCATTACATGAAGTAGTGCCTCTAAGCACAAACACAGAGAATGAGATAAGTCTCCTGGTCTGATCTCCCAGCTCTGGCAAAGAGCTGTTGTACAATTTTAGGAAGTCATGCCTTCCATGTCTCAGTGCACTTGTCTGTAAACTATGAAAGAGGATGTCTACAGGGAACAGAGCAGCTCTGCAGCATCGTGCCTTGAATGAGAGCTTTTGTCCAAAAAGCTCAGAGGCACAGTAACATCTAACAGTGGCTCTGGATAGGCATACTATAATTATTAGGTATAGCATTTGTTATGTTTCTTAATGGCACTGGAGATTATGGCCCAGGCACGAACAGCTCTTCCAATGACTCACGTGATCAGTAGAATGGAGCCAATGCTGAGGTGGGATTCCTCAGCTGGACAAGCCACACTGCTGTCCATCTCAAAGAGGTAGAAACAGTCCTGTTGCTTTTCCCGCTCGTCCGAAATAATGCTGAATGAACTCTGCAATTTGAGAAAAGTCATGTGAAAATATGCCGAGACATGCTGAACTTCACCAGAAGAGAGTTTGATCACTGTTGCTGCAGCCAGGCAATGGACATTGGAGGACAGAAGAAAACCTTCCCTTCTCCTTATAAGCAACCATTTGTCTGGCAGCCTCCTGCTCCTCTCCCACCTCATGTGTCACTCACCGCTGTAACTCCCCGCTTGCAAGAAATCATTATCGCAGCTCTTCTCTTCTCACCGCTGCAGTGACTGCCATATGAATCACCTCCTTTATAAATCAGCATGATCCAGTCACCTGCCACAAGAGAAATGATACAGGCTGCAAATCCAGATCAGGAGGCAAAAGACAGATACCTAGTGAGACAAGTATTGAGTGGAATCTTACTTCCATTGAAGACCTGGGTTTCATTGATTCTTCCTATCACTGTGGTCTTCCCGTTCTGTCTATCTGTTTGCACCAGGCCTCCAAAATCGTGCAAGGTGCTGTTGACCTCCCTGCATACTCTGAAATTGTAGATGTAGTTTTCTGTTTGGCCTTTCTCCACAGTCACGTTAAACCTGCAGCAGGGAGAGGACAGAACAGATAGCCCATAGGATTACAAAGAACAAGGCTCAGAGCAGCGGGCACTCAAGACTGGATGGCAGTCACAGCCCATACTAACAGGGGAGCCCATTCTGCAGTCTGGCCCCGAATCTTCCCGTCCCCTTGGCCTAAGGATAGGCACTGCACAGCCCCGAGGCCTGCAGGGTGTTATGCTGTACCTCATTTGGCTCAGGGGCTCTAGTTTCTTCAGCAGGGCTCTTTCCATTTGCGACTCGCTGCTTTCATCACCAACCACATCACAGCTCCTCTCTTTCAACTGTTCAGCCCCAACACCGACAGCAAGGGCCATAAAGGCTAGCAGCATAGCAGAGGGATGGCATGGTGATGACATCCTGGACACACAGCACAGAGAACACAGAGGATTAACTGTTTCAGCCCCCTGCAAACTAGCTTCAGGGTCATAGAGTCAACAATTGGTCACTTCCTCAGTCCTGACTGCAAAAAGGAGAAGTCAAAATCTAGAAACATCTCACAATTCCCAAGAGACACTAAATCTGAATCTCTTGCATAGTCAAAGACAATTCACTGGAGCGATTTGGGATTCTTTTCTGAATTTTGCCTTGGGACCACAAAAAGTTTTGCTGCTGAGCACATTAATTAGCATTGATTCAGCCAGAGCACAGCCCAACAGGCTGAACGCTGGAGTAAGTTTCAGGCATAAGCCATTGTTCATTATTGCATTGTACTGAGAAGTCAGTCAGCAGAAATGATTTACCAGGCCTCTAATCAATCCTCTTTGCAGACCTTGTGTGAAGAGCTTGCAGGGAAGAGCCACTGTGATTAGTCAGGCTCTGTTTGTTAAAGTGCCTTAATCTTAACGTTATCTTTCTAGTACTACTTTAGCTGAGAATCTGAAAGTGTTTCATAATGCTAAGCTGCAACTTCACAGAGCAGTTTTCTTCTGTAAACTGGGGTAGAAGGGAAGACGGAAACTGAAACAGGACAAGATCCAACTGAAGAGGCAGTAATGAAGATAATAATGAAATCTCTGGCTTTCAGATTCATGCTAAAATCACGTCTGAAACATTCAACGATTGCACCAACCAACCACAGTGGTGCAACAGATTCCCCTCTGCTTCTCCATCACAGATTTCAGCAAAGCTCCAGATGCTGGTGGAAGGCAACTGACAGACGCACAATTAAATAAGTGCCTAGCTGCAGCTAGGCAGAGAGCCTGCTAGAGGGACAGCCTGTTTTGCTGAACCCAAGGATTACTTCCAACCCCTGCGGAGTCCATCGTGACAGTTTACAACCGCCAAGCCAGCTCTCTGATCGCCACGGAGGTCAGATGCAAACACGACGAGGTCAGGTATGCTGAAAGGAGGAAGTCTGTGACACGAGAACTCGTGACTTGTCTCTCTCAAGACCAAAAGCAGAACCCTGCCCTTCACGCCGGCCAAGGCTTCTCCGGGCAACTTACTGGTAAACGCTTCCCTCACTGCGATTAGTCAGGCTCTGTTTGGCACAGACTGAAGTAAAAAGCGATGCAGCGACGCTGTTACCTTCCCCTTGGCCGGTTCCCGCTCGGGCTGACACCCTCGGAAGCAGGCTGTCGCTGCCTGAGACGCTGCGCAGCGCCGGGAC